CCCTAGACAATGTGACGGTGTGCTGTATGAGACGACTGTGGTGCTGGAGACCAACGAGCCAGGCCCGCCACAGCTGGATTTTGACATCCACGACCAAGTGTAAGTACCACAAACCCTTAATTCATTGCAGACGCCAATCCTGCCCATTCAAATGCTTGGAAAAGCTTAATTTCGTTATATCCATACAGATTTTCCAATTCTGTTTTCCTTTTCTGAAATTTAGAAAGGCAGGCAACAACATTTATATTAACATAAAATGCCAAATGTTGTGTTTGTGGTTTTTGTATATGGGCTTGAAATGTGCCACAACTTTGACTTTGAACTGTTTTGGTCAGACAAATCTGACGCGTCTTTAAAGTGTTAATAGTTTGTATAAAATGTGTCACAGCTAAGAGGCTGAGGGTGGAAGACGAACAAAATTATTATGCAGCGACATCAAGGCTTGGACTGGCCTAGCTATTGCAAAATGCACGAGAGCAGCCCGTGACTGTAAACAACGACATGTATGATGACAGAGTTGTTGGGACAAAACTTCGTGGTCCCAAAATGATTCCGATGATTTGTTCGATCTGCAAAATACTAAATGATTTTACTGACTAAAAATGTCCAATTTAGATTTTTTTCGACCCTGCCTGTCAAATCCTAGCTAGATGAGATACAAGATCCTTCCAGAAAACAACTTCGTTCAATATTTTTCTGGCATGGGAATCGAGCTCACGACTTCAGCACGCATGGGCAAAGATCCAAGCCTGTTCACCGTGCTAGCTGTTGAGTGAGGTTCTGTGAGAACTTTAGTATATGCATTGAAACAGTTCCCTTGTCTGTTCTTAGAATTGATGAGAAAGCGTTTATGTGTGTGTTTGTGTGTGTGCGTGTGTGTGTGTGTGTTTGTGCGTGTGGTTATGTGTGTGTGTGTGCGTGCGCGCGTGCGAGTGCGCGTATATGATTGTGTTTGTGTGCGTGTGTTTAAACGTGTGTATGTGTGTGTGTGTGTGTGTGTCTGTGTGAGTCGTGTGTGAAAAAAAGGGAGTGGGAGGTCTCTCTCTTGTTAACCAGGGTTTCAAGAAGAGACAACGAAATTTTGAGGAATATTTCCAGAAAGATTCCCTGGAGCTTTCACGTCAATTTCCCCACTGCACGTCTCGCTATGACCTTTGACACCTATGTGTTTTTGAATATTTCATTTTTCCCGGTGTGGGCAAAAAAAAGCCTATACATTTGGCAAATGGAAAGCTGCACAGCTTTTTTATAAATACGAAAAACCAGCAACCGTGAACCAGAACTAATGTTCATAACGCAATGTCGTTTCTCGCAAAAATCTCTGGCGCCAAGACGTAAACAGAAGCAGGATTTTGAAAACTCTTTCCCTTTCTTTAAAAATTTCGAGCTCGATGTTTATGATTTTGGGGAAATTTAGGTTTTCCCTCATTCCCAAAAGAAACTCCCCCCAAAAGTCGTGTTGAGGTATTGTTAGGAAAACAGTCCTCATAATTATTGTCGGTCAGCTGCACAGATGGACTTACCCCACTTTTTTTTTATTGTAAATTCTTAATCTGTGGTATCAGTTGCATTATATACTCGTCAAACCTTTGGTCGAAATTCAAATCAAGTTCGAAGTGTTGAAAAACCGAAAATAGATAAAATCCCGGAAGGGATACATACCGAAGGCACATTTTAAAACAAGAATTGAACGTTTTTTCTGTCTTCTAAATATGTTGCCCTCTATCTGAAAACATTTAACTTAACCAGCTTGCCGACATGTTTTACAAGCTGTCATCAACTTCCAACTTAGGAAGAAGAAAAAATGATAAACAAAAATGCATTTTTTAAAATTTAAAAATAAGCCACCTGGAACCATATTTCTGTATTCTTCAACCCGTCAGTTGACGTATATACATGTAATATTTGAAGCTGAAACCTAGATTGTTCCACATCCCAAATCAGCTAAAGAATCGATGACGAGGAAGCAGAAAGCAATCAACCCTTGCCAAAGTGTCTGCTGTTCGCACTTAATCACAACAGAACGCATCAGTAGCAAAGGAATCTTTTGGTGCATCGACGGTTCCCTCATCCCTAGTTCTCACAATAATACTGCGGTGGAATGCAGAGTTATCACTGTAATAAAGGAACAACACAGGTGAGACAGACAGCGTCGAGTATATGGAGTTAGAGTCGATAGCTAGAGGCAAAGGGTCGAGTCACCAGTGAGGTCACATCAGACCAACGTTCAACTGTGTTGAGGTTCACCAGGTTTCAGATGAAGGAGCAGGTCACAATAGAGGGAAATGAGCTAGAAGAAGTCGAATCCTTCTGCTATCTTGGGAGTATAACTGACAAAGAGGGAGGAACAGGAGCTGCAATAAAGACCCAGATCGGAAGGGCACAGGCTGCTTTAATATCTTTGAATAGGAATTGGAGGACCAGGGATATCTCACTTCGATAAAAGCTGAGGATCTTCAACTCAATTTAATGTGAAGCCAGTCCGGCTGTATGGGTATGACACATGGATAGCATTTCAGACGTTCGGAAGTTGCTGCGGACCAAATGAACAGACAGGGTCACCAACGTGGAAGTGTTAAGGAGAACAAGACAGAGTCCAGTCAAAGATGAGGTGGGAAGAAGGCGGTGGTGATGGACTGGACATACTCTCAAGAAGTCAAGCAGTTGCGTGACAAGTAAAGTGCTGGATTGGAACCCACAGGGTTAAAGATCAATAGGAAGACCACGTGAAACCTGGAGAAGAGTCAAGGAAATCATGGATGTACAGAAAAGTGAGAAGACATGGAGTGACATCAAGCGGCTAGCCCCGGATAGGAAAGGTGGAAAGTGTTTGTTCGTGACCTATATCCTGATCCAGGGTGAGAAAGGCGATGATGATGATGATGATGATGATGATGATGATGATGATGATGATGATGATGATGATGATGATGATGATGATGATGATGATGAT